TTGAGCTGCCTCATCATCCGTGAGGGCCGATAGTACGCCGCTGAAATGGTGGAGATCCGTGATTCGATCGAAAATGGTACACACGAGGTCACACCGGGAGGTTTCGAAGGCGACAGGCCAAGCTCCCAATAGCCGAATGGCCTGGTTCACAGTGATCCATCGCGTGGACAAACACCACTGAATGTTGAATAATAGTCGGCGCGCGGTGCAGACGTTTGGCGCTGCTGGGATCGCTGGGGTTGCCGGAGTAATCCCGCGCCGAAGAGTACTATCCTCAGCATCTACCTCGATGTTATGTGTAATATCTGGTAGTATTTTATCTTCAGATTCAACTGGTGAATGAGAACTCCCTTCCTCGCCCTCGCTGGTGTCAAGTTTGGTGCTAGATTGTTCACTAGGAAGTGGAGTCAGCTCAATGGATCGGTTTAAACCTGCACCGAAGTCAATGTAGTTCTTGATCGTGTTCATCTTTTCGTATTCTTCAAATACTCTTCGAGTGAATGGGCGTTGAGGTGGGAACCCCGATTCGGTGATTATCGGTGAAGAATTCGGTGGCGTTGATATCGAGTTTCTGACGTTATTGCCTGCTTTCGACACTGCAGTGGCTACCCCCATTCCAGCTCCCATTCGATCTAGCTGACACAGTTGCAGCATTTGTTCAAAACGTTTATGTGAGAGTGCGTGACACGGAGCGCGTCCTAGTTGCACGTAGTCCAGCTCCAAATAACCGAATCGTGGTGCTGAATCCAGAAATTTGGGCTCCAAAACGAAAGGTTTGCCATGGAGTATCTCGTTGCGAAAACCGTGGTAGTTAGTGTGCTGACTCGTGTCTTTCAGTCCACTTTTCTTGCGTAGAAAAGCAGTACGATTACTATTCTCAATAAGTTTTCGTAAAGTTACCCGATCCAGATCGTTACTCAGATCGATACGATAATGACCGGATGCCAGTCCTAGAATGGGTAGAAGGGCCTGACCCATAAGATGTTGTACACGTAGTCGATCGGCTGAACTTAGGTTGTGTTCGATCAGCGTATACGCGTTACGAGAGTCCACCATATGAGGTAACAACGCTATAACCACTTGAGGAGGATCACAAACGTCTCGTACTGCCTCGAGAAGTTGCTGTGCTTCGTGTGCTTTAAAGATGAGACCGGTCTTCGCCATGAACAGCATTTGGGTCTTATTCTTACTCATCGAGATGTTCTCAATCAGGCGTTCCACACTCGCATCCGACTGTGCACTGTCATTACCTGATGATACGTGGAGATCGACAAAGTCAATTTGCAGTCGTCCCTCTGTCGGGATCTCGAAGGGCAAATTGGTCTCCACGTCCACACATTCACGGTGGAAACCTCCGTTAAGTTCATCCAAGTTAAAGCTTTCCATTAACTCCACAAACTCCTCCAACTCAATCGTCCCCGTACCGTCGAGATCATAGAGTGCTACATAGCGTGGTACATCTTCATCATGGAATTGCAACCCCAACTTCTTCATACCTGCACGAAGTTCGTGCTCATCAATAAACCCAGAATCATCTTTATCTAGTTCGTGGAATAATTCTGCCAACGACTCCCGATCCAGACTTTTTGACACCATTTCACGAGCACTAAGAGCCTCCACATCCGTCAGAATACCAGCAGTTTTGAGTAATTTACGTCTTGCTTCGACACCATCCTGAGTTTCACGCAACTCGACGCGAATGTTACGGCGTAGTTTATTCACTGCTGAAGTGTGTGCGACGGCTAAAAACTTACATCCTTGCTTGGTGTTAGCCACTCGTAACAATTCCAGTGCAACTGCACGTTCGTATGGAATCTCCATGTTCAAGTCGTAGCTACCTGTGGGATCTGCGGGGTCAAAAGATCCGTCCCCGTCACTGGAAGCGTCGAAGTTGCATCCTTCCAGTACTACTGACAACTTTTTACTGTCTGCACATGCTGCAGCAGCATGTAACAATGCTCTGCCGCCCATGTTACCAAGCGGATTACCACCTAACGACAGCTCCGTGAGTGGCAGTGCGTTGTTGATCTTCAGTGCGCTAGCGATTGCTAGTGCTCCTTGTGCTGGGATGTTGTTGTGGTTCATGTTTAAACGTTGCAGTGTAGAGTTCGAGAGCAGCGCGTCGCCTACAGCTTGGGCACCGGCATTCCCAAACGCGTTGTAGGCTAGATTTAACTCACGAAGTCCAGAGTTGTAGGCTAGAGCTTTTCCGATCTCTATGGCGCCTGCAAGTCGCAGATAATTCCACGACAAATCCAGCGACGTAAGAGTACTGTTGATACTGATCATAGTCGCTAGCGCTTCACCACCGGTAGTGACTGAGGGTCGAACAACGTTAAGATGTTCACTACTACCCACGGAATTCCTTGACACATCGAGAATTTGAAGGGATTTGTTGGAATGTAACGCGCGAGCAAAAGGAACGAGCTCGTCGTCGTCTACGTCGGCACTGGCGAGCCGTAGCGTTTGTAGACTGCAGGACGCTGAGCTTAAATACGAGGCAAGCGCTTGTGCAGCATGGTGATCCACTTTATTCTCCGATAAATCTAGATGATACAGATCTGCCTTGGTTACAACCACATCGACGAGAGCTTGTAGCCCTCGATCACGAAGACGATTGTTGCGTGCATTAAGACCTGTTACCATTGGTAAATCAAGCAAACAGGCTGCAAATACACACGCGAGGTCGTCGCCAATGGCCATGTGAGAGACGTTGATCTCGGGCGAGAAATACTGACGTACAATGAGGCGAATGCACGGAGGCAGATCACGTTCGAGGCAGAGCGATGAGAATTTGTGACGTGCAGTGAAGGGGTCAGCGCTTAATATACTGCTATTTCGTTGACGGGAACGCGTCGAAGCACCCAGATGGAATTTGCTGGAGCCTCCATGTTTGTTGATACTACGGCTGACAGACTCAGTAGAGAGAAATGGCACTACAGGAGCGGTAGGATTGCTGTCTTCGTCACGCTGTTGTCGGTTCTTTTCCTGGTCTGCGAGAAACTCGCTGAGTGGTTCGAGTGGTAGATACTTTTGTGCTGCGAGTTGGCGGAAGATTGTGTAACATTCGGATTTTGCAGCCTTACCGAAGTATTTCGCCTTGGTCTCTGCGGTGACTGTGAGCGCTCGCTGGGACACACTGCGACCACCTCGAGCTAGATCCAGCAAAGCAGAATCAGATGCAGGTGACACGGGTAGTGGCAGCTTACTGAGTCTCAAGAACTTGTTGCCAGCCGACTCATGCTCACTGCGTTTGGTGCGTGCAAGCGAAGGCAAACTGCGACGCAACTCGGGATCGATCTCCCAGTGCCGTGTGATGCGCGAGATATCCCATTTGTCCCTTCCCTTTTCTGCGGTTGCTGGGGTCGTTGAGCTGCTGCTCTCAGTCGTCGGCGCGTCTTTGACTGGCATGGTAATGCAGGCGGACAACAAGTTGAAAGGGAAGACCTTGTCAAGTGTGGCAATTTGCACTTTTATTTCGAGTTGCGTCGTTTCATGTGCATAAATGTACCATTTTGGTACAAGTTGAAGTGGATCCTGAAATGCATTTCATGGTTATGCGATTGCCACGGGCAAATTGGCATTGACAATCGACGTTAAGCTTTGCATTCTATAAGCTTTGCATTCTACTTTAAGCTTTGTGAAGGGCACACAAGCAATGAATACTGGACTCCAACCATGTTAGTGCCGGCACACAAGAACAATTTTCCCATTAGTATCGGCTATTTTCCTGCAGGATAGCATTTCGAACGTGAGGGCTTCGTGGACCAAACGTTTCAAACCACGCACGTTTGTGGTGGCAATTATCTCGAAGGCTATCCTTATTGAGAGCGAGGAGCATGTGGATCCTACCAGTGATAGGCTATCAGTATTACCCCGTCAGTCAGTGTCTCGGGCCAGGAATCCGATCTTTGTCGCGGGCTCCAATTGCATCCAGTCACCCCATGTTTCTACATCGACGAAGACAAGCCTTGTTGCCAAGACCACACCCCTATAGCCGTTAGTTTTAAACCTCGTGATACAAATTTCAAGATGATTGGCTCGCTGACGACGCGCTGGCGTGCGGGAGATAAGCACGCCAGCGACAGCAATACTGGCTAGCACTGACAAGCAATGCTTGGTACCTCTGGCTAGCACCAATGCTCGCCGCTTGATCTCACTTGTTTCCGCGGTCTCCGTAGTGCGACGTAGATAGCGAATGGCTCATTTCGGCCTGTCTGACGTCTCTTCGCCGAACGAAGCGCTCACGAAGTGTTCACTTGGTTCCAGTATGCTGGCTCTGATATCTTGTCAACGTAGCGTTGTGTCTGCAGGCTTTTCCTCCTCTCGATAAAGTCCGCATAAAACAAACTGTTGATTAGAGGAAGATCCGCACCTCCGAATGGTGACTGTACTGTAGGTGGGACTACAAGTGCAGAATTCAGTCGCAACCACCAGGGGTCGGGCATGATTCCTGATGGTGCCGAAACTCCATGGGCGTACAGCATTTCTCTATTCACTAGAGCATCGGCCCAACGCGGAGCGAGGCTCGACTCCTACACTAGCTACGGCGCCGTCAGCTAGCGCTCACGGGCGCAGCATCCATCCACCAAAAGGACACGAGCGGGTTTCCACTTGATCGGGTTTTTGGCTCTTTCCAGTTTGTGTCTAAAGTGAGAGGGGCCGGCAAACTTCTGCGGCAATGTACGAAGGAATGTCCACCCCACCGAGCGACAAGTTGACGCTGCTGCGTCCTCGCATGTCCGACTCGGAGGCCAAGACGTTGAGTAATGAAAGCCGGCAGTCGTCCATCTCGGTTGGACACGGCGCTCCGCGAGAAGATGACCAGGAGGATGCTCTGCGTATCCCCATGATGCCTCTAATGGGTCAAGGAGCAGCCAAATCCGTCGCATCCAGCGTTGTATCGCGCCTCAGTGTGGGCTCCCACTTGTCGCTCAACCAGTTGGCCACATCACACGGCGGACAACTGCGCAGACGTCCACCGTCCACCATGTCCAGCAAGAAAAGATCCTTTTACAATGCGAATTCCAACGTCGCACTGAGAGGCAAAATGCCGCATGTGCCGCGTCACTGGCTCAACGCACGTTTCCGACACAATACGTTCTTCGCTCGACGGCTCCTGCACACAGGTTTGCCGTTGGCTTTCGTTCTAGCCGCCGGGTTGGGCTTCTACTACTTCTACAAGCCCGACACGCTCGTGTTGAACCCAGACATGCCAAATGTCCACGGATTCACGTTGAACTCGCCGAATCTCGTGTACTCTTTCCAGGCCACAAGCTGCGAAAACGTCGTGGGTTTTTCAGCGTTGATTTATCACACGCTGCCAGCCGTGATTTTGCTGTGTTTGCCAGGGTCTGGGTGGCGACTTTTTGAGCCGTTTAAGCGGGACGAAGAGTTTTCACCCGGGTCTAGTGGCACCCCTGGCGCACAGACGGGAAAAACTGATGTCGAAACTGGAAATGGGGGAATGGACCTGGACGATGACGAAGAGGACAACGGCAACCTTACCAAAATCAAACGCCGATTGGTCTTCCAGTTCTGCGAACTGGTGGCTGTGCTCTTGTTGCTGTTCCAAGCGGTTGTAGTCATGTTTTTCCTTTACATGTTCTTCAAAGGCGGCGTTTTTTCATGTGATATTCACGCGGTGCAAGTATTTGCACTCGTCAGCATGGTGTGCTTCGTCTGGATTTTCACCGAGTTGCAGTATTTCGCACGTTTCAGAGAGCACGTGAAAATGTTGCTAGGCGCTTTCCAAGAGAGCGACCAGACTGGTGATGTACGCAACCACGTCATGGATCCGGGTGTTGATCAGCTTATGAACCAGTCGGATAAAGCTCTAGCTGTAGTGCGTAAAAGGTTGTATAAGGCCACTCGCCAAGGGGATCTGCGTGAAATGCGCGATATCTTGGACTACGCGGAAGCTGCGGGATTGACAAGTGAGGAGCAGGGATTCCCTCGCAAAAGCTATGCTCCAGCGTCACTATTATTGGGCTTCTTTGCGCAGTCTCGAAAGAACCCAGTGCATGTTGCAGCCTATCACGGCAATATCCGCGCTTTAGAGCTGCTGGAATCTCGAGGATTCGACGTCACAGCGATGGACAAGTTCAGTCGTGTGCGCTTCTCGACTGGAGATCTCTTCTGGTACTTTGCTCGGTTCTTCGTGGCTCGCCCCGGTGTAGATGGAGGCGGTAGTGACGACGAATCGGCCGCGTCAATCTTCCGTACGACGCTGGTCACACCGCTACATTGCGCCGTATCTACTGGTCAATTGGAAGCTGTACGGTGGCTGCTCTTACGTGGTGCTTCGGCACGCACACTGGCACGATCTTCGTACCGTTCGGACCGGGTACCGCCTCTTTTCCTTGCCGAACACCCGGACGTCGTCCGTGAATTGCTTGTACATGGTGCTGATCCTCTTGCCGTACCCGACCCAGGATTTATGAACACTTTAACGGCACTGCAACTCGCGTATCTTCGTGGCAATTACGCGGTAGCCCAAGAACTGGAAGAATGGGGTGGCGACGTGGCACTCACACCTTTCCACTCTGCTGCTGGACGGAATGACGTGCTGGCTGTTCGGAAATTCTTACGGAAAAAAACCGATGTGGACTGTTTGGGTGAATTAGGCTACGTGGGCCTTAATCGAAGAACCCCGTTGCATTGGGCGGCAGTGAGTGGGGCCTTGGAGGTGGTGGATCTGTTGGTAGAAGCAGGGGCAGACCCGAACTTCCAGGATGCTCGGGGACGCACGCCGTTGCATTGGGCTGCAAGACTCAACAGAACGGATGTATTACGCTCGCTTCTTGACGCTGGCGCCGACCCGAAACTTGTGGATTTGGACTATATGACCCCGTTAATGTGTGCTGCATCGGGTCTTGATGCCACACGCGAGGTTTTCAGTGTACTAACGTCTGCAGGTGCAGATATCAACTACCAGTTGCCAACTACAGGAGATACTGCTCTGCATATCGCTGTACGGGAGGAGAACGAGCAGTCAGCACTGGCCATTCTTGCCAATGGTGGAAATCTCATGAAGATGAACATCGAAGGCTTACGACCACTGGATTGTACGACGTCGACGCGGCTGCTGTTCGAGATCAAACGAGCTGCTGGCCAACGCGACGTGATGATCAGCTACACTCACTCACATGCTGAGTTCGCTAAGAAAATCCGCAAGGCTCTTGAAGATGCGAATGTTACGACCTGGTTGGATTTAATGGACCCAAGTGGCATTGGTGGCGGCTCTGTATGGCGTGAGGAGATTGCGCGTGGTATCACCAACGCCGCTGTGGTACTGTGTCTTCTTACTGAAGACTACGCGCAATCTGAATGGTGCTTGAAGGAATTAGCACTGGCTAAACAGGTCGGTACGCCCATCTTGGCCGTATCGACAGAAGGTGTGAGTATTGGTGAGGATCTACAAGTGTATCTGTACACTCGTCAGCTTATTCCATTCGAGCCTGCAATCACCCAAACCAGACGCAATAGCACCAACGTGCGGCAGATTGAGTACGACTACGATGAAGCCAAGTTTAAGGCTCAATTCCGCTTACTGCTTGATGGCGTACGCGACGAAATTGAGAAGAATCGCGACGCTGTTCAACAGAAAAATATCGCTAGCAGTCGCCGTAATAACGGGTTGAAACAGACTGCTACTGGGACCATCTTGGCGAATACTGGAGGTGGATTCTCTCGGCTTTTCCAGCAATGGGACCCCGAAGCCAGTGGCGCGCAGAAGCAGTTTGTCTTCTTATCACACGGAGACAAACACGCAGGGTTCGTGCAGCAATTGTATCGCGAACTTACAGACGCTGGTGTGGTGTGTTATGGAGACCGTAACGTGGAAGGCCAACACTTTGAGAACCGTATCCACGCTGCGCAAGAAGCTATTTTACGGTGCACATGCTTTATTGTGATTTTGTCCAAGCAGACGATGAACAACGAGCTGGTACGGGACCAATTAGCGTTCGCAGAGGATAAAGGACGCCCTATTTTCCCTATTACGCTAAACGATCTCGATCCGGGTCTTGATAAGCGCTACTCGCTTGCTCGTAATGAACTTTTCCACTTCATGGGCAACGGCATGAGCTTCAAGCCCAGCGCGGACCGGCTCATTCAAGGACTGCGGCGTTACTACATTGCTCGTGACGACAACCAAGGCACGATGCTGGACAACAGCACACGGATCGCCAGCGCCAACACGTCGTTCGTTTCGTTCACGTTCAGTGAGCCGGGCACGAGGGACCACGACCGCGAGGCCGTAGGTGAACCGATCATCCAGGAAGGCGCCGTGTTGCGCGAGAGCCCCGACTTCCCTCGCACGAGCAGTGACGAACCCAGTAGCGAGGCGGAATCGACCACAGTCACGCGCAATTTCGAGTCCATCTCGGGCATCGACGACGCCCAGTTGGATCTTTCCAGCACGCACATTCGCATGTAGACGACAGAAGGTGTAACAGTGTACAAGATAAAATAAAAATACCAAATGCGTTATCGATATTATCGATACTTCAACGTCGTCCTCGACGGTAAACGGAATCTATCGGTATGGTTGTACAGTGTCTTCTTGGTTTATTCGGATAACTCACGGTCGTATGCGAATGGAGCGGTCAAGTTTTGTGTTCAATCGGCATCGCCACTTTGTTTTAAATAAATAGTGTTACGATCTGGTATCTACACTACAGTTCTTGGTATTTCTTTTCACATGTCGAGTTGGAAGATGAGCTCTTCCATGTCGCTCTCGTCGTCGGACTCTTGTTGGGCCCACGGGACGAGTGACGACGAGGCTGTCGACGTGTCCGACAGGTCGAGCGCGTCGTCTAGCAAGAAACCACCCGGAAGCTTTTGATCCGGACTGTAATACGTGTTCTCGTTGCTGGCCTGGTAGTAATAGCCCTCATCGTCGCTGTCGTCGTCGCTGTCTTCGTCGTCCTCTTCAGCCTTGAGCTCATCGAGTCCGCGACGAATAGACGTGAGGAAATCCTCGGGCTCGTCCTGATTCGACGTCTTTATCTGGCAGGCAGTAGGCTCATTTAACGTCACCGCCGCGTCCTGGTTGTCTTCCAGACGCAGCGCTTCATCGATGTCTGTGCAGCTACCCACGACCGCGATGGGGTTTGAGGGGAGACGAAGGGGCTGGAGGTTGTAGGCCTGTCGGAGGAAGGCACCTGCGGGCTGGAGCTGAAGCACGTCGCACATTCGTTGGCAGTCCGGGTCTTTGTGCTGAGCTTCTAGGAGGAGGGCAGAGGGCTTGAGTGGCTTGCGCTTGAGCGAGCAATTTGATGAATGAATGCCTGGACATGCCGCGTCTACTGCCGGGCTAAGTGCAAGGAGTATAGCCGTGGCGCTATCGTATTTAGACGAGATGCGTTTCCGGTGCGATTGCGAGATTCGAACAAGCCTCTATATTTTGGTAGATGTTAGAAATTACGAATTTAGAAATGATACATGGCTGTTTGAATTACCTGTATAATGCGATAAAACTGAGAGTCGGAGATTCTGCCGGATTCTGCACTCGGACGTAAGAGCCGCTGGCCAGCCAAACTTGCACCTTGATCAGCCAGCAGGCGATGAGTAAGCAGGACCGCAAACCAGCTATGCATGCGGTCCAAGGGAGCTACACCCGCAAAGTGTTGAAAGATGTTGGATAATTGTCAGTGCGAATGTATCGGTGATGGAATCGGAAGTTTGCTAAGATTTCCAACTTCTGTCAACTTGAACGTCACTCCACGAAGGGACGCAGTCTCACTATGCCCGAACTTCAACCGGATGGTAACTTACTGCAAGCGCTTGCACACGAACTGTAGCCACTCGTTGCGCTCCACTTGCACAAGTCACTGCGTAATGCTGCAACGATTACAGCGCTCAGTCTACGACAGTTTGGGTTGATAAAACGCTACACACCACGGGGCATGTACATGCATTGCTGGCTAGGTTGTCAGTGCAAAAAAATCGTCGTTATAAATACGTCCTCCACGCCACTGGCGACGTTCCGGTGCAAAGTCGCTTCTACGGTGGCAAAGGGCTGGAAAAGCGATGTTCGTCTGCTCGGATTCGCTTGTTTGCGCGTGGATTGCCCGGTTGAAGTGCGCTTGTCGTGGTCGACAGTGAAACACGCCCGAATTTCGTGGCGAAAGCTTCTGGATTGCCTCCGCAGATCCCCGTAGTGCAAGCAGCAGTTCGCGTGTTGATTGTTAAAAGCTCTTCAACTTCAAGCGTGCTCCGATAGCTTCAAGTACCCGATCCAGCGTTTGGGAATCAAATCTCGCCGACCGAAACTTCTCAGCTGCGACTTCTGACACTTGCTAAGCCGCTGTCGAGTCTAGAGGCAGCAGAGTTCTTTGTAGCCGCCATAATCTTTTCCACGCTCCTATGGGGACACTGCTCAGTTCCAAGCAGAGCTTGGTCAAGCACGCCAACTTCGACAGAATGGTGGACGAGGATCCTTCGTCTACATGCGCATTGAAGGTCTCTTGACGGTCGATGTCTGCTGGAAGAGGAGCACTGGTAGGAGTGGAACGGATTACTCTCTGTACCGTTAACGTAGCCAGCGTCCACGCCAGTGTTGCTCGCAGTAACAATTTAATTCTCCTTGGACATGTTCTGCTTGCGATCACGCGCTGCTACTAATGTTTCCAACTGCGTTCCGTAGGAACGAAAACTTCGCTTGTTGCATGCTGCAGCTTCGAGTACGTTTATATGATAACTTAGCTGAATTCTAGCGTTACCTACACCAAGACGTGATGCAGCGCGGAAAAGGTCACCTCCATTTATTGGTGCGATAGACGACAAGAACTATCACTGATACTGCACAGCCGAACCACGTAAGACTTGTTACGCACTCGAGGTTTCTCTTTTGCTGCTACATCTACATGTAGAATCCTGGTAATGATTCGATTAAACATTTTCTTTCTTTTAACGAGCTGGTCTTCCGCCCCGGTCGCAACATTCACACAACGTAAGGTCATCCGTAGCAGCACTAACAAATGGTTCATCTGGCACCTACAGCTACCTTGATGGTCAAGGTATTCACGGTACGATTTCAGTAGTCGCGAACACGATGGGGGAGGAGCCACTGCCAGGGAAAAGCAACAACAGCAACCATTTGCTACTGCTATAACGAACGCCACAGCATTCCGCTTACGCTTCTACCTTGTTACAAAACAATTTGCAAGTGAAAACTACGTTGGGGATCAAATAGTCATAAGCTTAGCGAGCAAGTCAGACGAAGAAAATATCGATCGACTGAAGGTGGGCGCGTCACAATTTTGCTACTTTGTCTTGCTAATTGGAGGTTATGACGAGCACTATAGAAAAACAGCCCCTTCAAAGAATGTCTAGTATACCAAAAATGAGACTGTGAAGCGTCCACACTGTCCATCAGTTTTATCTGCGAGAGTTGGTGGTGCCGCGTGACGCCACATCTTGTGATAGCGCTATGCAAACTTGTTGTTGTTTTGCTTGCTGTCAGGGTTGGTGCTGCGACGCAGTTCTTGAAAGAGAGGATTTGGGACGAGGAATCACGTCTCGAAGAGAAGATCAGAACGCAAGGTCTCCTCAGTATAGGTCAATTGTCCACAATGTTACTTTATAATTCAAAAATGTGGTTGTTAACCTTTTATTGCGTTAAATAATATCACATTTAATTTTTCGGATTCAGAGTCAAAAAATGGGTAATATTCATGTTCGTAGTGTCGGGTTAATGATTTTTTTCGGGCTGATTTCCATCTGTGTCCTTTATTTTTATGGGTTTTTCGGCATCCAACGGACGGATATTATTCAGCCCGAAAACTTTTAATGGTTTTTTTGGGTCTGAATACCATCCAACGTAAATTCATTCCTTATTGTGGGTTAGGGTGCACCACAAAATTAGGGTGCTAGTGTGCACTTACCCAAATTGCACTTCTCTGGCTTCATTACAAATGAAAACCGTGGGATTTATAGAGCGTCCCATCCCACCACGATGGCATACAAAGTGCAAGTGCACACGCCCTGGTCGGTCTTCACTGTGCAACTTCCTTCGGATCATGGAGAACGTCACCGTCACCGACGCCGCGGACGACGGCACGCCGGCAATGGAGCTGGCGCGCAATCTACCGACGCTGGTGGCTCAGCTGAAGGCTCTACGCGAGGACATGGAGCGCAAGTCCAAGCTCTACGACGCGCTGCTGCACGCGGCCGACGGTTGCGAGCCAAAGGTCGATCGCCGCGCTGCGTCCTCGTCCTCGCTGGACCAGAGCCAGAGCGGCATGCGCGGCAGCATCTTCACGCCGTTCGCGAACTCGCAGCTCGACCCACGGGCCAGTCAGATGACGCTCGAGGACCTGTCCGCGTTGGACGCAGCACTGGATGACACTCACTATTCCAACACTTTGGTGAGTCGCCAGTCGTCGATTATGATGCGACAGCAGCAAAATGGGTACCGATACTCTCAACGAGGTCGACCGCAACCTCGTCCGTCGTATTCGATGTCCCAAATGTCAATGGGACGCGTCGGACCGGACAAGTACACGGTCATGTGGGTCAGTGGCGAATGTGGCATCTCACTCCGTAATTTTTCACGGAAAGACAATAAAGTGGGGGCTCAGATTGCAGTCTTGCAACACGCAGACGGCGTCACTACCGGTATCAGCAATTGCAGGCTGGGAGATCAACTGGTGAGTATCAATGATGAACGAGTGGATCATTTGAAATTTAGAGAAATCGTCGAGAAATTGAAAACTACGCGACGTCCGATCAGTTTGGGATTTAGAACGAACCAGAATGTACAGACGTCACCTAAAGCAGCATCGTCGCCGACCGGCAGCTTTAGCAGCACTAACGGGGCTTCCAGATCGAGTAACTTCTTTTCACGTGGGTCGTCCAGGTCGAAGAAGCCGTCGCCTTCTACTGCAGACAGACACTCGGTGAGCGGAGGCAGCTACTCCAACACGAACGCCTTCTTCGACGATGACGAGAGTAGTGATATTGTGCACGAGACTATTGACCATCCAGGGTATGGAGACTTAACGAACGCCCCGCTGTCGATTTCTAGATCGATTAGCGCTGATGCAGTCACCCGGTCCAGTACCGGTGATGGTTTAGCTATGGTGGACCGTTCGACGACGACATCGTTGCAATCGTCGACGTCCACACTGTCAGAGGACGTTGAGATGTGGTGCAGGGAGCAGGAGGAAATGCACAGCGACATTATCGTGTTGCTGACGGAGACTGTCATGCGTTGCGAGAAGCTCCAGCAGGAGAATCTGGATCAGCTACAGAACCTAATGCAGTTGTCTGTCAGTAGCCCACGCCCCAGTGACAGGAGTAGTGTGGCCTCTTCCTATGTGGGGACGGAGAGAACCAGCAAGCCGGACCACCAAGATGTGCTAGACGTGGACGCTGTAGCGCCCGCAGCATTGGCAAGCCCGACTGCGACGTCACCCAAGGCGACATCACCCAGAGCGTAAAGCGCCCAAGTCACCCGAAAACTTGGGCGAAAAGGCTAATTGGGTGTGATTCTGGAGAGCAGGTCCGACAATTCCTACTTCAGTCTACATATCTATGATGAGGCGTGCCGTTTTGATCCATAGTTCAAGGAACTCGCGTAATGTAAATGCGATCACTTCAACGTAGAGCTTTGCACGGCATGACATAGACATTGAGGAAGGATAAATATCATCTACCTAGTGAATAAGAACTTGCATGTTGGTTTATTGACGCACCGGCCCACTCGTTGCTCCAGGTGCCTTTGCTTCACCTGGTGAAATACGTCAAGACTCATCTCCGGTAAACCAGACTACCATGCAACTGGAATCGACTACCGACACCCGGATACTTACCTTGTGGACGCAATAGGTTCAGCCTGTCAAAACTACTTGTAGATACCTCGATTTCCTTGAGCAATGGGTAGACTTTGTGGAACGTGGATGTTCTTCAACGCCCAGAGCAACTTCAGGAATGACACAAACGGTCTTGGATTTGTCTGGTTTTGCTGCACGGAGCTGTTCGATTCGTACAGTGCGCATACTTTTGAATAAGGCAGCAAGCGCGTGCAGTAATCCATGTTGCCAATGCTTGGGGGGCGACTCAAGCGTATCGATAGAAATATCGAAGTAACATTCCACACCGAGCAAAACCTGCACGACGTGGTTTCCAGCCAGAAAATTTACCAGCTTGAGAGTCCTCGGCCTATCGTCTATCCGATCTCGCTTTTATCTTGAACAACAGAGACCGTGGCATTTCACTCAAACAGCGTGGCTAATTGGTCCATCGCGAGATTTGGTGTCTCCGCGATACCCTACGGCGCGACGTAAAGACGACCACATGCCAACCCGGCGCGATCGGGAAATTCGTCCGAGCACCTTCGTTCGTGCCTAGTTTCCTCATTCTCGTTCCCTCGCTGAGTCGTGGAGCATCGATCGAGCTTGGAGCGCTTGGCCGATTGCCCCTCTCGGACTCCTTTACAGCTACCGAGGATTGACCACCTAACAGGAATACAGGCAGTGGACAGCAAAGCGACAGCGGGTCTCAAATGATACGCACACACAGGTCTTTAGAGTCAATGGCGACTTGTTCGGGCGTCACGACGTGTCTGTCCGAAGGTTCGACCGAATGCGACCTCACCTCGGAAACCTGTCCGCCGTGCGTGTACGCGCTCACGGGTGGTGATTACTCGTGCTACAGCCGTGACACGTCCGGCGAATGCCCCTTTTCGGGGACGTACGCTGAATGCGATCAGAGTTCGACGTCGACTAACAAGAGTTCTAGCAAGAGCAGCAACAGCGGTGATACCACCCCGACGCCGACGACGAAAACGCCGGCTAAAACCACAGCGACCCCGACGGAGGCTCCTACGGATGCCCCGACGCCAGCTCCCGAGACGCCGGTACCCGACACCGCGGACAACACTAACAGCCAGACCAGTACTGATGATTCCTCAACAACGACTAAAGCCACTACGGCCCCGTCGACTCCAACGAGCTCGGGTGATTCGGACGCGACGCAAACGTCATACACGCCGTCGTCCGCCAGTGGCGCCGAACAGGCTCTGACGAGCAACTCGTCGACCACAAGCGGATCACCGAAATTTGTCACTCTGGGGCTTATCGGTGGAGCTGTGGTGCTTGTAGTGATAGTGATCGCGTTTGTCGCCCGTCGGGTGATGAAGAAAAAGAAAATGTCGGCTACTCAAGAACACACGGTGTCGTCCGGACACAACAGCGCGTGGTCGGACAGAACGCTGGGTACAGGCACCTCGGGAGGCAACTTGTATTCCACGTACAGCTACAAGGATGAGGCCGGCAAGGGTAACGGCATCTCGATGCTGTCGGACTCGCAGGCTAGCAGCACGTACGGCCAGGAGAGACCGACGGCTGACTTTTCCAATTATGGCGAACACTCGCAGTACGCCCAAAACTCGCAGTACGCCCAGAACTCGCAGTATTACTCCGACTACAGCGTGAGTACAGGTCCCGAGCTCGTGGCTGCCGGCGCGGCTGCCGGTGCCGGTCACCACTACGCGAATAACAGCGGGCCGTCGACCGGGGGAGGCGGCAATTTTGTGGACGTGACTGCGTCCTCAACCACAATGAGGCAATCGGAGCTGGACTCGGTTCGCTCAGGACAACAACCGTTGACCGTGAGTCAGCTTATGCCTACAGCTATCAGCGAAGACGAAGAGGAGGCGTACGCTACTCGACGGAGACCTGGAAACCAGCAGTACGGGGGTGCACAACCTGCTTACAACATGTACACAGCCAACGCCGTGCCTCCAAGCAGTAGGAAGCCCCAAGTCTTCGGTGCTTCGACAGCTAGCAGCATGAGAAGCGACTACGATATCGTCGACCCAATCACAATGCGTGACGTGGAGCAACGCAACACCGAGATGCTGGCGGAGGATAGTCGTTATCCAAAGTTCTCTTTCGAGTCGGAGGCTTCATCCGCCGATATCTACGATGGGGATTCGTCCGAAGAGGAAAGCGACGGCGAGCGAGCGCGACCGGGAGAGCACATGATTTGAGACGTCAAAAAAATTTGTCAAATCCGATGCTTCCGTCGTTCAAGTTTCTCAAAATTGTCCGTCCCTGTTTCGTCGGACTCGATTGCAGAGTCTCCGTTTGCATCCGCAACGTTGGTATCCTAGCATTCCACTTGTGGGAAATATGAGCACACCGTCGAAAGAGATGACGGATCGAGATGAACAACGCTATCGTCAAATTTATCTGCGGTAGGAAAGTTTTTGAGTAAGGCCGAATAAATTCGTGTTAGTATTTCACGTGACTGAAACGGTGTTTACTGCTGTCTGAAGCTAGAAGAGTTAAACCGATCAGCTCGCAACGGGAAGAATTTCGGCGTGGCGTGGAATTCCATGGCTGTATGGTTAACAGGGCTATCCAACCGGGTTGCCCTCGTGAAACGATTTGGGAAAAGAAGAAATTTCGCTAAAGTTGATCGCGTGGAGCACTAACGCTTCTTTGCTTTGCAGTTTTATCATCAACAAACTGCATGGAAAATGTCACCACCATCGCGATAGAGTTGTTAATTCATAAGGGTGTCGTGGGTTCAATATTACTCAAGCTATCCTATCCTATATCTCTACATTTCGTTCAGTTTTCCTAACTTTCCTTCACCAACTCGTTGCCGGCATCGCGTTGAAGCTTTTACCAACTACCAGCGACGAAATGGGCGGCAGCAATGCTCGTGGTTCTCGTCGTAGCGGAGGCAACTGAATAGCAGTCGCTGAAACGTTATTGACGATTGGCATCGCCGCAGGCATGTAGTAGCTTGCGGGGTACACTGGACTGGGTTGCTCGAGCTTAGGAGGAGGACAAAGTTGCTGGTACTGTTGTGTGTAGCTAGGCTCAGCTTGGTGCGGTGTCGGCAGCCACATGGGAGGCGTCTGAGCTGGCGTAGCAACGGGTGATGCTCCATAGTACGGTGATTCCACCAGCAACGGACCCGTAGGCGACGACGCACGGGTCATCGAAGCAGGTGCCACCTCATGCACCGGAACCTTGGTCTGTCTCGTGTTCTCAACACGTTGGTCCTCTTCGTTAGCGAGAAGCGGGTTGTTCACCGTCGGGTCTTCTAACAGCGCGGCGAGCTTTTTCTTCTGCTTGAGCAACTGCTCCGCGTACGACTCGCGCCGATCGCCGTCAAAGTATCCGATAGCGTGCTCCATAGAGGCGATGCTTTTGCGAAGACCCGTGATCTGGCGGTGCGGCCAACGCGCGATACCGTGTCGTCTACAGATCTTCTTGAGCAGCGTCACGCAGATTCCGAAGTGTGCGGCAACCTTCGCCAATGGTTCTTCGAAATGCGGACGCAACATGCCCAGCGTGATGCTGCTTGAAGCCGTCATGTTGGGACGCGGACCCGACTTGGACGATGGAGTCGTCGGTGGTGCCGACCCCACGGACGACGTCGACATTGGTGAACCGGGCGATGAGACGGGCTCCGACAGCTTGCGACGCTTGACCGGCGTGCTGGCGGTGCCGGCAAGCTGGCGTTTGTGCGCCAACGGCGGTAATGAGACGGATCTGGCGGTTGCAGTGGCCAATTCGGCCAACGGGTCGATGGCGATGTTGCCAGGAAACGCAAAGGCTTCCATTGTTGCAGTTGGTTCACTTGTTGTCGAGTGCGTAAAATGAAAGGTGAGTTACGACACTGCAGTTCTTGTCGTCCAACTTGTCAGATGGCTGCGCGCCGTTCACGGGTGGATGACTGGAGGCGCTGGATTTGAACGCGGTGGCTTGTTGAGTCCGGTCAGGGTGCTGCGTCTGTCCAGGAGCAAGAAGCAGGAGAGGACAAGGGGATGGAGCTCTCCGTTTTCTGTCGTCGTCCAGGTGTGTCTCGGAGTCCGAGTAGGACAAAGCTGAGCAACGGATGTACGGATGCCACTTCAAAGAGCTCTCGAGAAGGATCGGATCGGGCTCTGAAGTGGCTTGCTTCCTCGAACTTCGACACCACGCAGTTTCGAGAATATGCGATCGTGACAAACCAGTTGCGATTGGTGCTTGCGCTCGAGCGATCAACAGAGATCCACTTGTGGACAAGACGGCGGAACGAAAAGTGAATTCGATTTTTGAGGAGCTCTCCCTATGGATACCGAGCTGAAGCGGCAGGCAGCAGTGGAGACCGGACTTGCGTGCCACTTGAGACCACGGCGCGGTATGTTCTCCACCTGCCAGGTCCAACGGATGAGTGCGTGTAAAGTGGGTTCGACACGCAACACTTCCTAAGTCCTACTTGTAGCTAGACAAGCATCAAACGAGTACTGCACTATTGATGTGCTATGCTGGACGCGTGCAATGCGCTTGGTTGGCGTGGTTAAACGCCTCCAGCACGCGGATAATTCCACCCGCGCAGTGTGCGGCGGCTGTCATGTCGCGCTTTGTGCGCCTGTACTGCAGTGCTCTGTCCAGGAGCTGCAACCCAACCCGGTTTTTGCCCGGTTCGGCGACGCCGGGTGGATCAAGAGGATCCGCCGTCGCAGACAGGCATGAGTTGCGGCGCAGACTGCTCCTGACGCCAGTGGCGCTGCCGCCGGCGGCTGCGAAGTCACCGCTGCAGAGCTAGCGAAGCTCGCTGTTGCTGTCGACAGCTTGGCGAATACACGCTCCATGCACCCGGCGGTTTGTACCCGGACGCCGACTCAAGTTCACAAAGACTTGAGCGTGATCAGCTCAACCCTGACACGACCATAGCCGATGCAACCCGATTCCAATTATTTGGTGAGCTTTGTCGTTCTGAAGCACAGAGCTGGGAGAACTTCTTCGAGAAGAGCCGACAGGTGATCTGCCTCCACCGAGCCTTCCCGCTCGCCACGAAGACAAGGAGGTCTGTTCAAATTGAACTGGGGAGAAGAGGGGGGGGGGGGGGGGATTCGACTCGAATTTCGAGCCAGCGATATCTCCAAGAGCTGCTGTCTGAGTGATGCGACCTTGCGCCAAAGACAGAACGAAGAGTTGCATGCCGCGACAACATTCGCGGCGATTACAATCAGGTACAATAGCGGAGACGACCTCAAGCATGTTCATTGTCGAGGACGTTCGCTGAGACTCCTTCGTCACTAAAGGCGGACGGACCGTGGTTTAACCTCCGAGGGCAGCAATGCTAATAAAACAATACATGCATCGTAGGTGTTCCGCTGCGTACTGCATCGATGCGTCCTTTGCAGCAGCGCACAAGCGTCTGATGTGCAAACTGTATGCCGCAGCAAGGCAGTCGCAGATCAGACAGGTTTCCGCTTCCTCGCTGGAGAATCCTTCGAGAGGAAAGCCGGATGGGGCGAGTCCAGTGCTAGTGAACACGCATCCGCATCACCAGCCAGGAATCTATCGGATTAGCTACAGTCTACGATCGGGAGTGTCAGGTCATCGACAAACGCCGTCTGCCAAATGGTCTGGCCCAGCACTTGGCATCCATCCGTCCATCTGCATTACGCAAGCTTTTTCGAAACAAAGTAAACGGATCTTCTTCACCATAAGTGATCGTACATTCGGTTTGTTTAGACAGCAGTGCATCGTATGAGTTCTTCGTGTCGTATACAGCTTCGATTTTAAACCCGCATCAATAGAATGCAGCTTCCGAAAACTTGGTGTCGAAACGAGAGAACTCACTCCTTCAATAACAACAACAAATGAAATATAAACCCTCTCGGAAAACTTCTATCCTATTTTGAGTGAGTTTTAAAAAATTCTTGAGGACACCCAAATTTACATTTCTTAACGCTCCAGTTCGAAAAAGTGGACTAGTACTTAGTAACATTTAACTGCGTCATAAGATTAACACTCACAATGTAAACTGGTGTAACCAGTTAACTTCAATCACGTCATATCTAGATCCTTGAGGGAGTGAGTCAGGTCGTCAACGCACACTGAAATGCTTCACGTCGAGGGCGAGCTAGACTTGCTCGTCTTCATAGTCATTTCTCCTTCTATTTCATCTTACGCAACCTAAAACATGCAGCAATTATATGCAGTGTCTTCACTTCATCGCAGCGTATTTGCACTGATAAATATGAGCCTCGACTCTTTGTTCATGCGTGATGCGACGTCATAGGATGACTCATACTGCATCACCGTTTGTCGGAGGGAAATATCGCCACTGTTGCTGTTGATCCACTGCACATTGCGGTGCTGTGCTTGGGTTTTGTGATGACGCAGCACGACTCGGACTGGAGTAGCTTTGGTGCTGAAGAATTGACGCGATCGACGGTAGCGTACGGTGGTGTGTCGCGATGGTGGGAAACGGGGGTCCTCGTGGGCGCCGGTTCATGCCGCTCCTTGCATATGGACTCACCCCGGTAGCCTGGAGATGCTGTGGTGTAGACTGCAATTCGTATGTGGGATTTACAACTGACGCACTGCTGTAATGGGGTAGTGTGATGCTTGGTCTAGCCGTCCACGCGAGTACCGCTTGCGCTTCCTTTTCTTCGTCTTGGTTGCCAATTTCTATTGTATGTGTATCTGTCTGGTTCTGTTGTTGCGCAGCAGCAGTAGACTCTGCTTGTAGCGTTCTTAAAAACTCCTCAGTAGGTTCGTTTCCCGTTCGAAGATACGCTTGCAGTTCATGCTCGAGTTTCTCCAATTGGTCGGCGTACGCACGCTTCTGCTCTCCGTCGAAGTAGTTCACTTGCTTGGCCATGGATGCGATGCTTTTGCGGAGTCCACAGATCTTGCGATACGGCCAATTACTGATGCCGTTGCGTCGACAGATCTTCTTCAGCAGCGTCGTGCACACGCCAAAGCTGTCAGCCGCCTGCTGTAGTGGCCGCTCAAAGTGTGGCTGTAGCATGTCGAAGCTGATGTTCCGCGTAGCGTTTGAGATCGGACGAGCAGGTGGGGTCGCCGTGGGTCCACGCGCTGTTCTGGACGCGCGTTGTGTGCCCGGTCTGGGGGCACCCGCCATCGACGGAGACCATCTCGTCGTCGTCGTTGTCCGTCGAGTAGACACCCGCAGTGGCGGGTTTGGAGTTTGAGGATGATTTACTTGTGTCTCTGCTTCACTGATAGAATTCACCGTTGGCGAAACGACCGCCTGCTTTGGAAGATCTGGACGACGAATCTCGTTCCCCGTTGCAGTAGAGCCTTTCGGGGTGGACTGCATCGTCTTGGACTCCTCACGCTGGATCATCTCACCCGAGGCACGACGCTTGCCCGTATGTCGTCCAGGGCTTGGCCCGCTGGAACTTGTTTCGACAGATGACTGCGCCATATTCGGCCCAGTTTGAGCCTCAATAGTGACCAGCGATATAGGTGCAAGTGAGTCGTTGCGCTGCTCTGTTGGAGTTAATTCAGCGCTGTGTGGGCCAGCAGAAGATCCACGACCTTCGGGTGGAGTGTTCTCAAGCAAGACCGAGTGGACCGAGTCACCGGATCTCCGACGTCGACGAGGACGCGTCTCTTCTTTTGAGCCGCCCGATAGCTCCATGATTTTGCTGTACCTGTAACCGGGAGATACGATATCGTTATTCTCGCTGATACGAAGCTGCTTGACCACTGGCGTCGACGTTGCTGGTGCTGCGCTGTTGGTTGCAATGCGGAGCTGAGTGCCGTAGAAACGTTCCGAGGTGTCGGTGAATTGAGATGGAATGACGGTGATCGCGTCCGATTTGGCTTAAGCTCTTGCAAAGGAGCGGAGACACTGGCGAGTGCGAGGCAGCGAGCTTGTATTTATCTGGGATAGATGTCGGAATGGGAGAAGACGGACCTGTACTCCTTCTCTCGCTAGTGGGATCGTGTTAATGTACCCGCGTCCGCTTGTAGTCTTGCTCTCGAAGCGTGCTCGTGGGCGTTTTCCCGAAGAGGTCCCACACCGACGGCTCTTGTCAAACTGTGCCAAGCAGAGCTCAAGTGGAGGTGGCTGTCGAGCGATCGCGAAGCTCTCTCTATTTGCTGGTCGCTCTGCTCGAAAGAGGGAATGCAAATTGCAGTGGAGGGATGGCAGGAGGTACGTTTGCCTTCAGCAGCGAGTTTTCGATCGGACTGCTCGCAACTGCAAATGAGGAGGGAAGGGGCGACGTCCACATCCTGAAGGTCCGACCACCCTTCATCATGACGCCTTCTCCAAGGCTCTTCTTTGTTGGTGTCGGAGATCGGGGCTCGCCACGTTGATGGTGAAGGATGCAAACAATTGATTCTCGCATCAAGTCGCTGAGCAAGTTTGAGAACTCATGTCGATATGTTAAAGTACAATCTTTTTTTTCTTCGTTTGCTGCATTCTACCAATATGATACGAAGGAGTCGTCACTTGGAAAACAGAGTTTTATAGCAGCGTTAAGCTGATACGTTCCAGCAGCTGATGATGATGACACGGTATTGGTACTTTGTGTCCAGAGGGCGGTGGGGGGACCAGCGATAAAACGCGGCAGCAGAAACTGGGCAGACGATTGCACACTCGACAAGGATGGCAAGCCGAATTGTGCATAATGGACCGGAACCTCTGCCCCTAAGGTCTTGGTTGCGAAGTGAGCACATGCATTTCTCCAAAAAATCTGCAATGCACCAAATTTATTCACGGAGGAGCTTTTGATGAAGCGATGAACACGATGGATTGGCATCTACTTGTCGCGTCTCTACAGCTTCAAAGGCATGAAAATTCGATGCTGGTTGTCCTTTGTAGAGCGCGTTTACCTACGCTCGGCTGTGGTGTTACACCACTGGTGTAATAGTGTACGTTGAAGTGCGTTTTTGGGAGTCCGATCGTAAGGATATTTTTTATAGAGTGGTGAAGCATAAAGAGGGGCACAAGACGCATCCCGGGTTGACGTAGCGCGGATAGTTCTCTTTTTCGAGCGATTTTAGAGTGAGTAATGCGTGCGCGAACGGGACAAGCAGCAACTTGTCCTCCTGCCACGCCCCTGTCCTCCTTGCAGCTTGGTCAGCAGGAGCGGTGGTTGGACCGGCGCACGCTGCAAAAGCTGAAATAGTGCTCCATTCGTGGCGAGCTATTACCTTCTAGAAGCCTGAGGAGGGCGGAGGCACGATGTGGCGCCGCAAATCAAAGCCTGTGCGACTCGCATGTACATATCACCTTTGCTCTTTTACAGCGGTACAGGACTTCAACACAGCGCCGTACATGTACACGTAAGCAATAAGTCGAACTCACGCGATTGGTAGTGTGACAAGCTCACGCAACGAGGCAACGAGGGCACTGAATTGCTTGGTTTCGTGTGGGCAATTCAACGTGTTGACTACGGGATGTAAATGACATGTGAATGTGAAGAAGGTCCATTGAAGTGTCCATTGTTTTCTACGTACTTTCGTCGACAAGACAAGGGAGCAGTGTTGCTTCGTTACTCACAAGGCACGAAAAAAGTATTGGTCGCAGTTTTCATTTTTAGAATTAAAAATCGTGACTTCAAGATAATAATAAAATAACTGTTTTTACTCCTCGCTGAGGTAGTGCAGGAAGTTCACGAACTGCTGACCATGGCTTTCTTGGTGTGCTCTGTGATGCAATAAATCTACGTTACCTGCAATTTGGAGTACAGTTGAAGAAGACAATGTGGCGAGCACATAGCTAATGATCCTGCTGTTGTCGAAAAACTTTTTTTTTCTTTCGTGGAAACAGTCTGCAGCTGAGTTGGTGGGCACAGAGGCTTGATCCGAACGAAATTCATGGAGGAAATCCTCCGAACGCAAGAACAGTTCGACGTTTCGTTTGGGTCACTCCACGTGCGATAATATGTCAGGATATCATCCGACGTCGACCCGTGAATTCGGTCGGCCCGCTAGCTTTTAGTTGGCTCCTATCATTGCCATTGCTGCTCCATTACACGTATCTTAGATTGGCTTAAAGAGACACTTTGTTGACATTACCGGTATTTCTAATTAAAAAAAGACTTATCCAGTTTCCCTAAAAAAAGAAAGCGAATTCAAGACAAATATACATGTATTCGGCCTCTGCTTCAGGCGAGTTCTGTCAGTGTTACGCAGTGTAGAAAGCTAAACTCCCGTCATTGATGCTATTTTCTACGAAAGTCTCACTATTTTTGTCCTTCCCCCGGCAATACAATGACAGCAGAGAGAGTGGAGAAAACTTCAACATGAACGGTACAGGTACAACAACCAACTTCAACTCGAGGGAGCACCCAAGCGGCACCACTCGATGCCGAAGAAGGCCGACACGTCGAAGTCCGGGTCCTCCACGTTCACGTCGTCCAATCTCCCCATGACTCGCCGATATTTCAGCACCTTCCGCGCCAATTGCGCGTTGGCGGACTTGGCCTCGGGGTCCTTTTGGGCGACATTGAGCAGTCGCTGCACATTTCCGCATACCCGCGCCTTGGTATCTTCATCCTCGTAAATGAGCCGAAGGCGCGTTGGTGAGGTAACAGCAGAAACCGCTCTAGTTGTGCGAGGGTGTTGAGGACAGTCGAAGTCGTCGTCAGACTCACGATTGGCAGCGACGCCGTTCCAGGACATCCGACGGCGTCGAGAGTCCTCCTTCGTGCATGACACGCTGAGGTTGCGATGAACCTGGCTGGAGGGTTTGCAACCGCTCGTTAAGCGGTAGGTTACCGGGTGCACGGCTCCAACCTCGACGGTAGCCCCGTTATGCTCCATTTAGCTCGGTGTACAGCTCCGTCGACGTCGCGTGGTTGCGCGTTGGCTGGCAAAAGGCCGAATGGGATAAGTGCGGGATGCCGCGCTCTACGTTGCACGTATTCAGTTGCTCATCGGCCAAGTCAAGCTGCGAAGTGCCCCCACGAGAGCGGCGGATCTCGCACGGAAACGGGGCAAAAGGACGCGCGTTACGCGTCGGAGAATTTCTTGCAACATACGAGTCTTACGTGATGACCCACTGGTCCACTCTGGGCGAGACTTGTAAGTAGGCAAAACTTCAAGCGTTGCAAATGCCATGGAAGGGCTGGCGAGCCGTGACGACCGAGTTCGGTCTCGTTCCATAGCGCACTACACATGCACTCCTCGTTGCGGGTTCATACCCCGCTGCTTGTTGCGCGCCAACGAAGCTCGAAGACGAGTGGACGAGCACTATTCAGAGCGTCATGAGACAGCGAGGAGAAGCGTTCTCATTCTGCGAAGCTGCCATCGGTTACTGACCTTAAGACTCAAGTTGAGTCATGGTGGTCTCGGCACTGCAGGCAGCACCACCGGGTTGGATGTTAACCACCGCTGCAGAGTATAAAAGCCAGAGACTGCGTCAGTTGCTAGACGAGACCCGTTAACTTGCGTTGAGTTTGGTCAAGTGCGAGAGTCAATAGTGTAGCAAATGAAGCAGCAGGTCTTGTCCATCAGACTAACGCATATCACGTGCGTTGGCCAAAGACCCCCTACAAAAAGTCCCGAATGAGGACGCCAATTGCGTCCAGACTAACGCATTGCACATGCCCTTCAGAACATTTTCCGCTTCATTCGTCGCGACGCTTGACGTGAGATCTTCAAGATCTATTAAAGGGAGCTCTTTGCGATGTGGCGGTGTGAGCTTCTCGCACTCTTCTCGTTTTATGCGATCACTGGGCTCCTCCCAGTTCAGGCATGTCCGACGGAATGTCACTGCATCGGTCAAGCGCGAGTGTCCGTCTACTGCGATTTTCGGGGACTTGAGGTGGGTTTTAGTCGCTTGATCGGCCTCGATCAGGACACTTACTGAATGCTGGCCAAAATGCTGACCCCCGTAAACCCATTGACTGTAGCAAGTGCCGATCAACATCCCTGTAACCACGACGTATTTGTACGTACGCATGATACCCCGTTCTAACCTGCGTTGCAGTAGCTCTGGACTCATCGCGTCATCTCATGTGTTGCGTTGGGTTGAACTTATCGACGTGACAGGGATCTCTCTGGGAACAAGTTCACAAAAGTGGTGCCCGAAATGTTTCTCGGCTACGTGACCGACAGCGAAGGCGCGTTCACCACACAGACAGCCCCTCTAACGCAACTAAAAGTGATGTAAGTTGCAACAAGAACTTAATACTTTCTTCTTAATTCGCTGACTCAGGGAGTGCTTTTGCTACTTGGTAGACATCTGAACTTGAATCCCGTTCGTGTTGTCAACGAACATGCCTTCGATACGACTCCATCGCTGGAACTAATGTACGTTCGTGTTATTATTATTATTTTTTACTGTATTACATTTATTCTTGGATTTATATTTATAATACCACTGTTGTGTATTGTAGCTACTTGCCGTTTGACGTCAAGATCCAACGTCAAACGTTTGCCGAGATGAAGACGGACAAGTTGACGTTTGACGGCTACGTTCGTGTGGAGACTCATCCACTAGAAGACCCCCACTTTGTTGCATTCTCTCGATCTTCTTAGAGATTGCCAATACACGTAGCTTTATCGCTTGCTATTCACCGTTCATACTCTCTTACTACTGTAATTAGTGCTCTTCCTAAGTACTTTCCAAAAAAAAAATAAAATATCGCCGTCGCCTTTTATACCAAACTACTGCTACGTCCTCCACTTGGCGAAGAAAATCTTGATATACACCGCCTACACCTCCACCGTCCAATTTGTCACCCATTTTTTTTCCGTCACGTCTTCAAACTGCCTTCCTTCCGTCAGTCTGGCGTTACCCAAAACTTTTTTCAAATATTTTGCTCAAATCCACTCACTTTTGGGCATATTCGCACTTCCTTTCTTGACGCCAAGAAGTAATGGCTTTGGAGATGGCTCTCGGTCCGGTTGGCG